CTGTCATTAGTGTGTCAACTTAGTGGTGCATGATTCACTATCTTTCTACTTTAAGCATCAACTCTTCCATCGCCGTGTGGACCATCACGAGCTAGCCTAAATGATGCCCCATCTCCCGCTTTCAAGCCATATGGTCATTAAGGCGCTGTTGCTCACATATACTGTCGTTCGGTCACTGCGTACATGGCAGTCCCTAACAATAACTCGGAAACGATGTTCGCCGAGAAATGAGCACCGGCTGTTCAACATTGAAATACATATGAAAGTGGTTAGCATAGTCCGGCGATGATCTAAGCCTGTATCTGACCTGAGATCCGGTCTTACCTGGGTACAAAACCGATACGGCATTAGGCAAAGTGTTACCATGAAACATGGATACCATGTTACTGCGTCCTGGTTTCAAGTGTTCGAGCCGCCGTTCATGTCGCCCTCTTTTGAAGGGGCATTCAGACGACCTTTGAATGCAACTATCGTTTGCCGTGTTCTTCAACCGACTGTACGCTTCAAAGACTGCCTCAAGGCTCAATTGACTCTTTGTTCAGTGTATCTAAGTGGTTGCTTGACGAACAATAATGGGAACCTGTCGATAACCGACTAGTGGTTTGAACTTATGAACTCAGTTACTCGATGGAAGCTTCGTTGCGTGGCTGGTCATCCGGTCGCATGGTCCACGTAACATCAGACCATCGCCTCATTGGAAATAAGATGTGTCCATCCAATGGAAGCGAAATGAGGACGGCCGAAAAGACGTCCAGGAACATGTGCAGATCATGTCTTCTTCGAAGTCATATGATACCAAGCAGATTTCATGTTTCTACAAATGTTTTCTGAATGCAAATCATACTTCCTAGTGTTTTGGAATAACTCCACTCTGTGACCGATTAACTGGTAAACTAACTTTAAATGGAAATCTGTTATTCTAATGATGCGAGCATAAAAACCAACAAGATGTCGATCAAATACGCAGCTGTGGGCTGAAAGTTGACCCACAGTTACGCTAATGTGAAAACCGATGAATATGCCAGCTTTCGTTTGTCAGGGAAGTTCTTTTTACTGCTTTGCCCTAAATAGCTGCTTAGTGACCAGTCTGAGGTCAATCAGACAAACAGTTTACGGGGAGGTAAAACGGTGGGTGACAAGTGACCATGGTGGCCGCTTCCGTTAATGGGATTAAACAATCGAAATGTGTGGTCGAAGGAGCTTCTAGGTCCCCAGTAGAATTCCATATTTATTACCCAGTGTGCATGATTTATATTTTGAATGGGATCAAACAGAGGGAGAATAGCATAAAATATACATGAGCATTTGACGTAGGGTTCATTCAGCTTCCACATAAAACCAGGAATATCGTCAACCCCCCCCTCAAACAGAAACCTCACCCACCCCCGAATGGATAATTTTAGCCCCCCCCTTATTCGAGGGAACACTGTACTGCACTTATGACCCGTTGACATACCTAGTCGTTTTTCACTTGAGATTCCGTGGTTTTAATGCATCTTTTGTTTAGTATGGTTTCTAGTCGACCTGGCTCGTTGGCCTCAAACCCGGTGGAACTGGTAGCGGACCTGCCGACCGTACAATGCTACTCATAGCCTTAGTAGTCTTATTTTCTTCCGTGGGCTTCTAGTCTGAAAAGGGCCCGTTTTATGGGGTGAGATGAATGTCTCTACAAGACATCTTAGGCCCCGGAATAGTCCTTGTTCGGTCTCATCGACGAGAACAGGTTTTTCGCACTCATTAGTTTGTCTTCGCTTAAAAATTTTCAAACAAATTTCAAATTTCCCAAAAAACGAGCATGGTTCGTATTTTGCAATGAGACACCAAAAATCTAGCGTTAGACCATTGAAACCTTGACGAATGCTAACTTGTCCTCTATCTTTTCCGTCATTCACACAATCATCTCCATTATTTTCCTCGCGATGCTCGTTTCGTGTCCTATCATCGCTTCGTACCGTTTTATCTGGGTCGCTGATGCGTGAAGCTATGAGGACGAACCTCCGCAACTTTCTCCTACTCGCATTTGCCTCTGTTGTGTAAACCTTACTCACTTTACCGAAACATAGAGCAGACAATCAGTTTATCAATCTGTTCTGTCCTTGTCAAAAGTCGGTAGTGTCAGTATTAGAATTCGAAGTCATTACCTTCAACACGCAGTTCACATGTGAGCTGTGTGCACATATTGATCGGTTTGGTGCCAGCAGCTGGCATGGGAGTTTGATTACTTGGGCTATGTTTCTCCGCCATCTTTTCCGCTTCGGGTTTACACGTCTTCAAAGTTGCACTGATGCGCTTCCTCTCTATCCACTCCATCCCCAACACAGTTCGTGATGCCTTCTGTTCTCACTATACCATGGAACTCGCAACTCGACACATGACAAAGCAACTATCCCTAGTGAAGGTACGTTTCACCACATTATTCGCGACCGTGAATCTGTTCCCGCCTGTGCGAAGTTTTTGCTCAGAATCGCAAGGACTTTGATGTCGCTTTACTGTGTTTTCTCTTTCTCCCTCATGGCTACACATCAGCTATCCGTGCATTTATCAGCCTTCGGTTTACCCAGTCGTTACCGCAGTATTAAAATTGCCCTTCATTTAGAAGGCCAGACATAGAACACAATGGAGGTGTGTATGAAGACTTACGTCAACTTTCTTGAATGCGTCTTGCGTTCGGAAAAACAGTTTGGCCATTTTCGTGGCACGTCACTTTTACCCGTCGTATTCCCTTCCCCGCATTGCGTTCATACTAGGAACTTTCTTGATTAACTTATGATTGATAACTTCTGTGCTCCGGAACTGTGGTCTTCCCGCTTCCATCCGGTAGCCCTTTAGCGGTACACCGCAAGTTCGCTCCAGGTGAACGTTTTTTCTGCAGAATCTTCTTTTGTGGTATTCGGAACGTACCGATATGAATTGTCTTTCGCACTTCTGGTTACCCAGAGCCCAATGGTTCGCGATTTTTCTCAAGAGCTTTCAGTAGAATATGATGGACGCCACAGGTGTTTTAACCATTGAGCTACTGTTCCGAAGATGTTCCAACACCACATAACCCAATCCTGACCGTCAATTCATGTCCTCCAGATAGTGGCAACTGTTTGCTGAAATCCGACGAACCCTGTTGTGTAGACCATTGTAGAACATAGTCAACCACAGATGTTGTACCGATATCGTTTGTTTAATGTCGTAGTCGACTGGCAGGTCTATATCGATGGCACAGTACATTCCGCTGTTTCTTTTTGAGGGAATTGGGTCAACGCGAGCCATAAAACATTGCCCGTGTGATTCAGTGACTTAGATTGAATCCGCACTTCATGCCTTCATGGTTGCGTTGAACTTCGCTCACTGCGTAATACTCCCGCTATTACTGCAGACCATTAGTGTGCAGTTCTTCCCCCATGGGAGACTACCAGAACTGTGCTCGAGGTAATCATTCGTGTGTGAGTGGTCTTTCCTGAATGATGGTCTCTTGAGATTCAGCTCTTCACAAGATGATAACAGTGTTGCAAAAATGCACTGGTTCAATGGCTATCTGGAGTATTCACCGTTGCGTTTAGTAATCCACGGAGTCCACCCAGGATTTGGCTGTTAACTGTATTTGGCTATGTTGCGGCGTTACTGGGACGAGGGGACAACTTATTGGTTTGCCCTATGTGAATGTATACGAAGGTACAACAGGTGCTTTTACACAAACCTACTCGATTAATTTCGTCCTTCAGCACAAGCCAAACACCGCTCAGCTCGTTTTGGACTTTCATGGCCTATAGAACTGATTACCGTAGCGGCTTACAATCTTGAATAGGGCTAACAAAATGGCTAAAATAACGGTAAATCAAATACTAGGTTCATCATTAGCGCAACTGACGTTCGGTTGATACAGACCATGACCTGATTTACAAGTTATCGGCCGAGTGAACAAACTGGAACTGTGGAGTGATCTAGCTCTTTTACACGAGAAGCCGAACGAGCAAACTGTGACAATATATACCCTCATCTCAGGTCAGGACAGCAGAGAAAACCAGTTGGAAATGGTCCAAATGTAAGAATTTTAAGCTGTAAGGAGTGTTGTGATCTGAGAGCTGTTCACGGGTTTAAGAGTGTCAGTAGAAGTCCACGCTTATTCTTTCCTTTCCGAAGGTTACACTGTATAGAAAGGGCCGATTTGGCCTATTTGCTTTCGCCGAAACAGAAATTCGATGAAGTTGATCAAGAATGACTCGTAGCAGAATGGCTGCTGTTATTCGGGCACTCTGTAAAGTGGGTTCACTGTACAAGTCAGCTAGAGTTTTAACCAACCGTCCAAAATGTCAGATCGCCGCATTTTCGATAAAGTCTAGAACTCTATGCATGAACGACAATCGTCTCTTATAATCTTTAAGCAGATGTGCAAACAATCCCGTTTCGAACGTACCCTAATAGTTCCATTTACCACGTTTGTTAAGCCATGCTGGTATAGAACCTCCGCAATACACTTACATTGTTCAGAGTTGAACAAAAGGTATAAAATAAGCCTATTAGATCTCTCTAAGGTTTGGCACCCTCCGATCAGCCACATGATCGACAGCTCGGCACGTAGACACCGTTGAGAGCGAAATGTGTAAACAAAGTCACATTGTACGCCGATGTCCGTTCTTGTTGTGTCTAGGTCTGCAGAGTTACATCGGTTTCCCGACACATTTTGAATTGTTTATAGAATACCCTCCGTTTGTGGCCCACCACTAATACACCCTGTCGCCGAGGCACGGAACACTCTCCTGCTGTTGTGATGGATAGTGGCGTGGGACTGCATAGCATGTCTATCTCATTATGGCTAATTCATTGCCGTTGATGCTAATTGTGTGGCTATTGTTAATCGTTTCCCCTCCCCACACCACGTCCGTTCCCATCTCTCACAGCCCCGTGATCTGAGTCTCTCTAGTCTTCGAAGCCTCGTGGTGGTGGCAGAGGAACGTCCCCGAATACACCTGACCGCGACTTTCACCAAACTATTCTCGAGTTTTGGATTGATGAGTCGAGCAGTCAGTACTTCGTTCGGATGTCGTGTCAATGTGGCAATCTCACTTCAGGTTTGTTGTCGATTTCACACCTTTTCATAATTCTATATTCAGGTATCCACATGATTTTTCAGCTGTTTTAGATGGCCTTACTTTCTCACACCGTATCCTGACGTTTTCGACCCGAAACTTTATAGAAACTTATATTCCTCGCCCCGGTGTATAGGCATAATCAGTACGATCTCTCTAAACCATTTGTTGGTCCGGTAAGGGTGAGATACGTCATCAGAAGCCACTAGGTAAGCTTTCTAGCCTGCTAGACATCAGGCGGGAGCAGTTGACATTCTTTCGGGTAATAGCTGCCCAAGTCACTCATCATCTGATTCAAGCTACTCGCATAAGAGGCAATTTAAACAAAAGTCCATGGATCACTCCGGGGGATAGGGTAGACATAAAACGCGACACACTAAAGTGTTCCGTTTGATTTGGGACATGCACCTCCCCCAGAGAAAGTTGCAAAGCAAATTTGACATGCGGCTGAATGCAGGAGCAAAAAAGATAGTAGTCACTCTCTTTCGTACTGACCTCATTTCGTCGGATCAGCTGATCTCATCTACAGTCGACCGGTCAAACCCTAGGAAGGAGAAAACCGCTTAAATGATACTAGAATGAGGGATACTAAATGAAAGTACACCATAATTGAGATCACGAGATGTGGCGCGCTGTTGTTCTAGTACTCCTCTGCAAATCCAATATCAGTTCGCCCCGTAATAAAAACACTTAGCGTATTGTGTTAATATGATGAGCCTTTTTGATCGTTCAATATGGCTTTCCATGTCTAGGAGTCACCATCTCATCCCCTACATAGACTATCACCATTTTGGTGAACGAATTGGGAAGACCTTCAAAACTTTTATTTCAAATGAATCCGGATGCTTTGTGCAAATGGATGACTTCATTCTCCCTCGCTTGTGTCTACTGCCAAAAATGCTAGATCGGTATCGCTAACACATAACTGAGAGAGCCAGGACCAAGTGCGCTACTAGCCCACATAAACGGCAGCATTCGTGCATCAATGAATCGACCAGACGGTGGTTTGTTCGCTTGGTTTGTGCTTTGACCGTGAGAGCGCGAGACAAGTTGATATGGACACTTCCGGGATATTATTTGGCCCGAATTCACGCTATCCAACCTACATCTGTTTTTCCGGTCGATGTCTCGTCTACGAATGTGGAATCTTATACAGCTATTGCGGAAACAGCGGGCGTCCACTTGGCACCCTAGTGTAGATATCTATCCTGAACAAACTGGTCGAAAATTCCATAATTTTGAGTTTGTCGGCCGTCTTTCCTCAATGGGAGTCGATGTTTGTTTTTCCTTCATTTTGTTGACTTGTTGCCGCAGACGAAGTTTTCAGTATTGCTGTTACTACTGAAAATCAGACTGACAGGTCATTTAGGAAACCGTGCGCAAGTGTGTCTCATTACTCATTCGGATTCTGTATCCGTTACTTTGCCTTGATTCCGCCTGGCTCATTCTCAGAGTTGTGCTTATATCTGGTCAATGTTATTACTTGTGACCTTGCAGGGAGCCAGTTCCCCAGAGAGTACAACTGTATACGTGGATCGCATCAGTCTTCGGAACGATCGGGTAAAAATGCTGGAAAAAGGTTCACCTCACAGTTTATGCTTAATAGAATCGGGAAAAGTGAGTGTTTGATCGCCCTCTTCCTTGTGTTTTCGCCTTTACTCAGATTGATCCTTCTTTATGTGTATTTGTTTCAGCTTGATAGCCTCTATTTCAATCCAACTCAGGTAACATCGGCCCGAAGGACACAAAATGGAGACGAAAAAATGTGTCTTACTTTTAAAGCATCGTGTACACAGACCATCAGGACAGGAGTAGGTATCTGATATGGAGGCGTCCATATGGGAACAGAACCTAGATCGTCGAAGTGGTAGCCTATCTCGGAAACTATGGACAGTCCCATTACTTCAACACTACTGGCGCGCTAGGTTCGCGTTTTGAAGAGAAACCAGACTTTTTTCGCGCAATTTCGCGTTTTGAAGAGAAACCAGACTTTTTACTGAGTCTGGGTCCAGAAGTGCCGATGACACACTCAATGCAGGATACAAAACAGATGACCTTGTTTGTTTATAATGGATGGCGAATGTGTAGAACAAACCACTGCGATACTGAGGCGTATCTGAAAAGTAGACATCGCCCTAAACAAAAAGGAACATTATGAACATAGATGCAGACAGCGGGACTCGGGTGAATGAACGAGGTACATGTTTCGACGTTTCACGAATCTGAACATCCTGTTTTTGGTCGATAAGGCAACCACATAAGAATAGGAGGGGGCTTCCTTTTTCGGCCTGGGGAAGTTTGTGGAATAAGAGTTCAAGATCAGTTTATTCGAATGCTTTGTTGAAGACTCAAATACTTCCGGGAGTGCTCTGTCCCATCATTCAAGGCCGTCTATCCAATTATTGTGTGTGACTGGAATCCCTTCTGAGAGTTTTGTTTACAAGTAGCAGCTTGTTTAGAGAATGATTGGTGCTATATCAAGATGGTGATCAGCCGCTCGTGACCGACCGGTTGAGTCTTCAGACTTCCAGCCGGTAGGTCGCGAGTTTGAAACTCCAAGGGATTTCATGAGATGTGCACTGCTGATGATTCCCCCATAAGGATAAGACGGTTGTGCAGTACTCCGCATTTAAAATGTGTGTAACAGTAAAATTCGGAAGTTTTAGGCAGCTTCTGGACGCGCCTTTGGCAACTGATATTAAGCAAGTACTGGAACATCATTGGTCCATATTTCCGACTAATCACAGGTCACCTTGATCACAGACCAGTTACGTGCGAGTTTCAGGGCCCAAGCGATCGGTATGGCGGTTTGAGCGTAGCAGTCCGCCTAACATGCAAGCAGTGTTTACCAGCTTTTTGGTGGTATTCGCGTTCACAGCACTCTCGTTTGAACAGTTTTCTCCCTGTCCTGGCGCAATTATTCTGGTGAGTCAACACCATAGCCAAGTGGGTGGCAACTCGCTGCGCTTCCGATTAATTCGTCACCCTGTTGATTCGGTCAATGGAATCCATCTTCCCGTACCACTTGATAACATATAGGTATGAAACTATGCCAACTTCCCTTCCCTGCTATTCGTTATTCAATATATGTAACACCGATCTTCATAATATTGGCAAATAGGTTAATTCAAAACCCTGAATTGTCCACGACAGCATTAATCCAGTGCTATCATGTGCTGTACGTTTGGTTTGCGTCATGGTTGGAATACGCGAAGGCTTACTTACTGCGCACGCCCTCCCGCCCATACAAAAAACCCGGTTATCGACACCACGCATGTTGTCTGCTAAGGTGCTGAACTTACCTTGAACCGATAGATGCCTCGAAGGGCCAAGTTAACGTTTGCCGGTCGTCGGCTGTGTTTGGTGCCTTGTTAAGTCCTCCTTGTGTGTATCCAGCGGTTACTGGTACGATCCTATTCCACCAAAGTTTCACTCGCTGCTACCTGCGGTCAGAAGTGAATTCATTTGTTTCTACTTCAGGACAGGATCTTTCGAATGAGTCACTGGATTTTAGGCATACCCTGAGCGTTGAGGAAGATAGATGGATGAATCTTGCATTGGTTTGTTACAATGAACAGTTTTGAATTAACGACTAGTTTGTTAAAAAGCGAACACTGCATCACGAATGAGTTTGCAGAGACTACCAGTGCCGTTCAGTTGAACCATGGCTTAACCAATCATTATTTGGTAAGATTTTTACCGTCAGGAAGTGTATGGTCGATGCACTGCATGTATCGTTGTGAGTCAGCTAATCCGTCACAGGCTAGCAGTCTGTGCGCAAACGAAGAGACTCTGGTGAAAATCAGCCGGGAAAGCTGACCAATTTCAATGACGAAACCATTGATGAGCCTATTCCTCCACAACTCCTGAACTTCATCTGTAGGGTGAATCCTTAATGCCAGGTTACGGTACAACTAAAATGCGCGAAATAAGGACTACTGGAAGTTTCTTCACTGGCTTGTTGTTGTGCCTTTGTATGCCATAGTATTTGTGTACGGACAACTGCGGAAGCTAAGTGTTTCGTGTTGAAACGATCTCTTGTCATGCGATTTTCCTCGCTTTCCGTCACCTGTGTGCTTAGACAAGCTAACTTTCCTTATTCATCCGCTCAGTTATTGTCCGTTGTCCGTGATCCAAATGAACATCTATTCGCTTCACATACCCCCTCACCACACATGCACACGCATACATCAGTACACACAGTCGCAGGGGTGGCCAAAACTTTGCAAAATCTTCCACTTGCTTTTTTCTCGTTTGCTTGCATCCCACCCTTTCCAACGTGGTATCTGCGTTATCGCTTCGTCAATGGCTCCCATTTGTAGTAAACAGCATGTAGGATGATGAAGTCATAGCATATGGTTCTCACTTTAAAAAAAAACGTTTGGAGATGACAAACGTTCAGAAACTAAGGGAGAATTTGCAGAAGCAGATTTAATTTTCCTGGATATAGCGCTATTTGTGTTGGACAGGGAGATACTTCGACATCTCGTCCCAGTTGAAACATGTGGAGTGGCCTTTGTGCAGCACACTCAGTTTAATTACCAGAGAGCCAGCTTATATTCAGTTGAGCCTCCCGTTCACCTTCTTCGCTTGTAAATAAGTGGTTATCCACACAGGCGTGATTCATATTTGGATTTTGAAGGTGAAGCGCAATACTTCATATTCAATATCTCATAGGTAATAGTGTACATGGAGAGCAGTGGGTTTTATCGTTTTTGTCCTAAATCCCAGTACCCAGTCGACCTTCATTTGTATCTCCGACGCCCTTCCAGGTATGGAACCACTGAACGAGTTAAAACACATATTTGATTTGTTAGTCTAGTCACCCACATGCTTCTTGTTGCGGGATCTCCACACATGTGACTCCCGTCCTCGTAAATGCCAGGTGGGTGTCAGTGGCCATCGTCGACTCTCTTGAGAGGATGGATTGTGAAAGGCGCGTCAAAAACTAGGGTTCTGCCACAGTGTTGTACGATCATCCTCTCTCCTCGGCAGTCTATATTCCGTGGGTGCTTCGTGCCTGCGTGTCTCTATGTTAGGCTGAATACGGTGTAATACCCGGTTCTGCTTCGAGGTTGATAGCGTTCGCATTGATAGCATAGCGGCTTGTTGAGTGTTTTGATGTATAGCACAAATGTTTCTAAAAGCACTAAAATTTTTAATGTCGCTGTTTTGGGTTCCTAGTTTTTTTTAACATAACCCTCTGCAAAGTTGTTTACGTTGCTGTTGGAACCAAATATTCATGAGTTCCTGGTAAGCATGGGGGTGAACGCAGGCATCTGTAACATCCCTACTGTGCTTGAAATGTGTTATTAAATGAAACCTACTTTCCTTTCCTCCGAACCCTTCCCAGCTACTACCTGGAGTTCGTGTGGCTATTGCGAACCCGGATACTCTCGGTCAGTGCGCAGACTCTCAGTTGGGTGAGATTTGGGTGTCATCACCGCACAATTCCACAGAATTACTTGGGCCGTTCGACAATGCCAGTCTCAGTCGAGCTCCGGGGACCACTTCCCAGCCGGTACCAGGACTGAATGCAGCTGATTCACTTTGTGCACGCCTGGTTACCGGGGACACAGAACGCATGTACGCTCGAACGGGATTTCTGGGTTTCGTTCGACGTACCGAGTTGACTCAATCCGATGGTGGTAGGTTTCCTTCGCTCCATTCCTTTTGCCCTTGTGCATATTACTCACGGATTTCTTTATAGCGAAGCTGAATTTCAACTACCTTTCAGTCACACTTTTGTAAGGCGTAACATAATCCGAACATCATGTGGTTGTTTTTTTTCAATTCTTTCTAGCCTTGGTGCAAGCCGAAGGCGCTTGTCCACACATTTCGTTACCATGACTATCAGTCACTGTCTGCTTTCATGGTCCGACTTTCGTCTATTTGGAACTTTCATGTCCAGTCAACTTGGTTGCGTTTTGTTGACCGTGTGACTTTGCTTGAAATTGTTATTCAATGAAACCTACTTTCCTTTCCTCCGAACTCTTCCCAGCTACTACCTGGCGTTCGTGTGGCTATTGCGAACCCGGACACTCTCGGTCAGTGCGCAGACTCTCAGTTGGGTGAGATTTGGGTGTCATCACCGCACAATTCCACAGAATTACTTGGGCCGTTCGACAATGCCAGTCTCAGTCGAGCTCCGGGGACCACTTCCCAGCCGGTACCAGGACTGAATGCAGCTGATTCACTTTGTGCACGCCTGGTTACCGGGGACACAGAACGCATGTACGCTCGAACGGGATTTCTGGGTTTCGTTCGACGTACCGAGTTGACTCAATCCGATGGTGGTAGGTTTCCTTCGCTCCATTCCTTTTGCCCTTGTGCATATTACTCACGGATTTCTTTATAGCGAAGCTGAATTTCAACTACCTTTCAGTCACACTTTTGTAAGGCGTAACATAATCCGAACATCATGTGGTTGTTTTTTTTCAATTCTTTCTAGCCTTGGTGCAAGCCGAAGGCGCTTGTCCACACATTTCGTTACCATGACTATCAGTCACTGTCTGCTTTCATGGTCCGACTTTCGTCTATTTGGAACTTTCATGTCCAGTCAACTTGGTTGCGTTTTGTTGACCGTGTGACTTCTTTCAGCCGTCTGATCACCACCCTTACTTTAGTCATGGCGTTGGTCACATGTTGGCCAACAGGAATCGTGGTATCTATTTACCGCGCCTCTGCGAATGGTTACTTTTTAAAATATGCAGAAAAATAACCCTGAAGCCTCTGGTCGCTGGAGTTATAAGAAGTACCCTGTCTCTGAAATTGTGGAGCTTATTGAACTCGCTTACGGAGAAAGCTGTGTGGATTGAATAACTCAACGCTGTACCGGAGGGATTAGTTGCTAGCGCGACTGAATTGACCTGTACAGACTTTTACGCTCCATTGCTGAGTCATGAAATGGCCGACCCTGGACCGTTTCCGCTCGACACATGGCTGGGCGAAGAGAGCTTTGACAGACATTCGGTCCTCTGGCGTACGAACTACATCGCCTAATTGTGAAGTGTGATCAGTTAATCTTTCGTTGGGGAGTTGTTTCTCCCAAAAGACAAAGACCGATTCATATTTCAGTTGGCATGATATTCAATATATCGCAATATATCTTCATAAATGAAACTACTCACACGGTTGGGTCTCTTGTGAAAACCAAATTGATTTGCAACTGAGTGTATTTCTCGAAAACAGCCCACTTTGAATTCAAGCAGAAGATAAGGTTGACGGAAGCTTAGGGACTGCGCCTACCTGATGAGCCCCAAGAAGGGCGAAACCGGTCGTAGGCTGTTGAAGAGTTTTCAGCAACCTTGTGAGTAGTTTCCTTTATGAAAAACCCATGGAAACCCTTTCTCAACTTCCGAGCTGCCGCCCGTCCACTTGCACGACACACTAGATAAATACTCCTCACTGCCTCTGGGTGCTTTCAGTCCAATCGAACTTGTCAGCCGAACGGCGCACAATATTCTTTACTGAATTGCAGTGCGCTTATTTTATCGTAAAAACGCCCATTGGCTACGCTTGAATCGGGCCTGTCAGATTACGCGATAAGAAGACAAGAGACCAAGAACACGACTGTACTATCAGTCAAATGTAGGATAACTGATGTTCACTTGCTTGTTTCAGCCAATAGCGAAGTTCCTACCAAAAACATTTTCACGCCCCCTCCACTGGTCGCATACTGCCATGCATGTTTGGTAGGCTCCGCTCACGCACCCGCTATCCGGATAGTGTGCCGACGCGCCGTTCTTTGAACATGTAGTTTTCGGTCCGGGCGCGTCCTAACACTGATAAAGCACCTTCACCCCTGAGGCTGAGTGCAGTTTCCATACTATAAATACCATGAGCCATCGCATCAGGATTACGAGACACTGGAAGGCATATGCGTATAAGCTTGGTTCGCCTTAAAAATTGAAGATTTTGGACCTAACTGAGACCATGTGTTCGTTTTCCTGAGACATGGGATCATCATCATTAATTGTAAGAACACGTGCTTGTCGTACAGTGGAACAAATCGATCGAAGTCAAAAGCATGGTCTTAGCAAGACTTATCTGCTGTACAGTACTTCCTCTTGTAACACTCCCCGAAAAACCGGTATGCTGGAAACACATAGGAACTGAGTACCCAGAACGAATGACCTCTCCATTGCGGATAGGCCAACTGTAGAACTCCGCGAATATTATGTTTACCCTTTCTGGGTATTATCGTCATGGCACTCAGTTTGAATCTCGTTCAAATTGACCTTGAAGGATGAGCTCATAAAGCATCCAGTCTGCAACACACTTCCTGTCTTTGAAGGACACCAGCGGAGAAGCCCCGTGTAAGGTGGCTGTTGACCGCAGCGCCGTAGTAACTGCCACTATCAGTTGTGAATATTCTGTGTTCTGTAGTGTGGTGTTCCAACATTATGACAGGATGCTCTTTGGGTGTGCTCGGCATCAATAACTTCTAACCAATTTTTAGTTGAATGGCCGCGTCCTAGACAGGTTGTATCTGTAGCTTCAACCGATCTCTAGAAGAAGCCTAGGGGCCTCGACAGTACATTATGCTGAGCAGAGTTGTCCAAAAAAATAAAGAGACTATAACTTACCATTAATATTCGTTGAATGGAAGCTAAATGTCAACTTGATCATGACGTTTTGTCGCTATATTCTGATTGTTCTTTTTGCCAAGAGCCATTGAGGATTCACCATTCTCAGATAGAGTATCCAAATGCGCCTTTGTGCGTATTTTATGGATTGTGTATACCGTTTTCAAGACAATTCGGGAGCCACTTTGAAGGCACCCATGCGGGCATTCGAACACCGTTCCTCGAAACGGAATTCCTCGTGTCAACCACTGGGTTGCTTGGGCCCAGTCATATACACAATGAGGAAGAGCCGATGCTCCCTTGATTCCCATATCCGACTTCCGCCAATTCTATTGCTTTTGTTTATTTTGACCAGTAAGAAATTATATTCTCATCCACTTTTCGTTTCCTTGTTGCATTGTAAATACAACCCTATTGAAAAAATATGTTATACCATTTCAACCGAGTGGTTAGATCGCGAATTTACTGACCGGAAGGTCCGTGGTTCTAACCCGACCTATGTCGCTCGACTTCCCCTGTCTAGGCTTGGGCAACCTGGCAGTATCCCAGCCCTCGTGCCTCCGTGTGGCATGGCAGCTACGCACCGAAAGGGTGCTACAGCTGGACGATTATTATTAACCGATCTGTTCCGTAGGACTGTACCTTGTCAACTTTCTATTCAAACAAAATTGTATGAAATAACTGTGGCCCTCCCAGCCCACCTTATCTCCTAATCTGTTTTTATGGTTTTGTTTACACCAGTGACACTAACACATGCATCTCCAATTTTCTTGCAGAACTACACGATGCTATCTTCGTTGTGGGGAGCCTGGAAGAAGCGATCATGCTTCGAGGCATGCGTTTTCACCCGGTGGACATTGAGAACACTGTGATGCGAGCGCATAAGAAGATTTGCGAATGGTAAGTGTTCCAAATCATCATCCAGAACAATAGGCGAGCTTCATTACCGTGTGCCCTAGGAAAGAGTGGGAAGAAAGACGAAGAGCGGTAATGACATAACACCTCAACTTTGTTGCCATTTTGGCGTATGGTTGCCGCTCAATGAAACACGAAGACTGAGGTAATGCCAGGTTGCCTGAGCATAAATAGGACCGATCGAGAGGCAAAGGTTATGTTCATTCGCTTTGCTCCTCACCCCCTGAGCTATATTTCGGTGGGGACTTAACTTGAAAACGCTTTAACGGGAAAATATCAAGAGCAAATGCGCACACCGAATTGTGTCGAGTAAAAGCTCATCAGCAGTTTTGTACCGGCGTCTTTTGCAAACCTCACCCGAAACGAATTTCATGCAATTCCGGTTCAATTAGAAAGTGAGGTTGATGGAAACTCGGGGACTGTGTTTATCTGATGAGCTCCAAGAAGCGCAGAACTGGTTGTGGGCTATCGAAGAATTTTCAGCGTCCTTATGAGTAGTGTGTTACATCTATAAAATTGTTTTTGGTTCTCCACCGACTACGTCGCTGTGTGTCTTGTTGAAATACGACAAGTAGGAAACAGCATGAGTAGTGACATCTATAAAATTGTTTTTGGTTCTCCACCGACTACGTCGCTGTGTGTCTTGTTGAAATACGACAAGTAGGAAACAGCCAGAAGTGACGGGCAATTAGCATACAGTAAAGTGGTGCGTAGGTGAAATATCAGTCAATATCAATTATTACTGCCAAAGTTCGTCTAATTCGATATGCATAAGTTCGTGTCAGGTCACGTCTTTTGCTCGGTCGGCATTGATTATAGATGTCCATCGACCTGAGATCCAATAGTCATCGCCTCAGTTATTCGCACGTATGCATACGAACACTTTGGAACGTTAGCTGTAAGAGGTTCTAAATGCCTGTCTGGGGTCTATTCTATAACCAGCCTTGACGGAGTGTGCTTCAACTGAACTAGTGATCCTCCTTGAGTTAGTCATTTCGAAAAAAAATCGTTAAGTAACCAACTGGAAATTATACGACCACTGATTCTCGACCTCACATTGGCTGCTGATTAGCCGAATGCACTTATCCTTTATGGAAAAACATCCTATATAAACAAAGCTCGATCAGAGATCGAAAAGGATAAAAATTTCTTTCCAAAGCTACCAGTCGTTCACTGGCTCAGTTGCCTGTGCAATCTTTACCCCGGCATGGTAGCGTTTCCTACGGGTTACAGCTTATGACGACAGGGAATCAAGCGTTACCATACTGGAATGAAAAGATGAACTTTTATTGAGATCAGCCAAACGACACTGGTTTAAGTATGGGTGGAATCCTCACTCAGGTAACAATCAGTAATGACTCTTTCGTTGTGTCCCGTATTCAAGGGTCTTCTGATCACTGGAATATTAGATTGCTCCCTATGCGTATTCGTTCTGATGTTACTGCAGACGTTCCCCATCCGCTGAGCTACACTACGGCACCCTATCATGATGCAAGACGACTGCAGAACCAGTATTTATTCGACTACAGCGTTTCTCTATGGATACTTTCAGCCGTGGTACTTCCTTCGAGAGAGGCCGCTTCGCTTTTAGCCAGTGACGCCTTTTGGCTTCAGTTCCTGACTGAATCCCTACCTGTTGTGACCTTCCGAACGATCGTGCAACTCTGTGTCGGTCCTTGACTTCCTGCTGCACCCACTATGGTAGCGTCAGACAGTCCTTTACACATACAAAGGAAGATTATTACAACTGTATTTATATATAGACAGCGTCAGACAGTCCTTTACACATGCAAAGGAAGATTATTACAATTGTATTTATAGGGTAATCACGGAATGTCCCACAAGGTCGTGTTAGAATCTCCGTGAGAAGACGAGAAACGTCGAGCTAAAGGTGCTCGATCCAAACTGGATGGCATTCTAACCGATCAGGCCACGCCTTCTTTTGGGCTGTAGCGGGCGCGCGACACATCTGTCCAATTGATACGATGTTCGGTTATTAGGGACAGCCAGCCTCTGGACACTACCACAACAGCAGACATCAAAAATCACCGGACTAATCACTTAAATCTAGTGGATCCGTGGCAATACGCGCAATTCCTGTTTTTTCTTTGCCATGAAACGCTCTTTGGCATATCAGTCTACTAGCCCTGTGGTACACACATCCCATTTCGACTCAAAAACAGAATATAGCGCAGAAATGATAAAATATTATGACTTTTAGTGCCTGCATTTCAGTCCATGAGGAAGTATGGGAATAGAGTCCAAAGTTTCGAAAGGCATGTGGTATCTATCATATTTTAGGTTAATCAATTTCGAACTGTTGTAGAGTTCGGGGAACACGAGGGGTGGTAAACATGGATCAGTCTCCCTACCACCAGCATAACGATGAGCTGAGTCAATCTTAAAAAAGCAGGTAAACTCCATTTGTTCCTTTAGATGTAAACGATAGAAGCTCAAGTCATGGGTGAAGTGCCGATCTATAGCCAATCTCTTTTGAGAGGTGTTTGATTCATTCTAATCAATGCGGTAACGTTGGTGTCGTTTTATTTTTCCGGGCTGTTATGTAACTCAGGAAACGAAGGAGCTGAGCAACTGTAAAAAAATACATACTATTTTGGGTATTGTATGAAAGAAATTTGAGGATCCCTTTTCTGCTTCTGAAGTGACCATATTACTGATTCCCACACAAAAAATTATTGATCCCGGTGAACCATTTAACCATCTGAGTTTAACTCTGTCGGTGCGCGCTGCTGACATTTCCCAATAAGAACGAAACAGCAATGTTCCATTTACATATCGTTGATGCTCTGGTGATGAGAATCGTCCAGACGCCGCCTTGCAAAACCAAGAGATGGATACCCTATTGGAAACAGCTGTAGGTCTTGGTTTGGACGGCTGTTAGGAGTTACTACACATCTACTATCAACCCACTCACTACCTGCCTCTGAGTATCACAATCCAGCGTCTCCATTCCGTCCTCTCTATTCCAAATTCAAAGTGTCCGTCACGAGCGACAACCGAAATAGTCGAGATGATCAGGGTGAGTTTACAGAGATTTCGAGAGCCATGTAACTGACAATGGGACGAAATTATATCTAATGGTTTCCAGAAACCAACCTACATCCATAGTTGGTCAGATTTACATTTCGTAGGTTTGATGATTGGATTAGACGTATTGTAATAACTGTGGTTGGATACCGAAAAACTTAGCTGTATAATTTCTTTTGTTCTTACTAAGTGTATCGGGACCAGACACGGAGCCCTTCTCTAAACAGTTTCAGACCGTTTCTATCCGCGCATCTACAAAATTTCACATCTTATTGAAATGGATGTGTAAGTGATCGAATTGCCAGTTAGTTTTTTTCGAAACAATGCAACGGTCCAAAAGGCAGCAAGTCTCTTCCTGAAGGACTGATTTTTGCGTTCTGATCGGAACACATGTACGTCACATATGTTCGTCACGGAGTATTTTCAGCGATTTGGAAGTTTGCCCTCTCCATGAGGTCACTACTTCTCTAACATTGTGGGACATTGTGTTAAACTGGTGACACAACTGTTCGCGTGCATTTGAGGTCAATGCCGGATAAGGACAGTTGTACTGCCTCAAGGTTACACTGGAGACCCGATATTGTAAGGGCGCTTTGTAATTTACAGTTTGTTACTATGACAAAAATACACACGATCCCTCTCTGTTAAACCACTCTTGTTGCACGTCAAACTTTATCGTTGAGGCTCTGCTGAACACTTTACGGTTTAGGAAGCTACTCCTCATATGTGCACCATAAAGCGTGCATCAAGGCCAGTCCAGTACAAGTTATCGCAACTGGCCGAGAACCATGTGAACTGATGACATTGGCAATTAGAAATGAAGCCTATGTGCTGAAGGTCATACTCTGTGTGTAAATTCGGATTGTGCATTGAGGAGTGAAATACGTCTGTGGACCTAATGAGGGATCGGAGGAGCAGCTGTGCAGTTTCCCGGGAAGTTCACAGTCGCCAACATAATTGCTAGGCATAATGTTCGTTGGTGTATCGTTTCCTTATGAGATTACATCGACCAAAAGGCGACCACTTCCTCAGGGCTCAGACCTATCGAGAAACAGCATGATACATTCAGCCGCCGAGTGAGCAAAGTCCGTTGCATTCGATAATCAAAGAGCTCTGGTCCTGGTCATTATGCCCACATATTACTAAAAACCCACCGTTGTTAATCAGGGTCTCGTGTTTGCCGAGCTGAAATGTGTGTTTTCGCGCCGGATTACTTGATCTCTCGCGTCTGACTTTGCAGAGTTCTGCGCAAAGACCTACTTGTTTTAGGCTGCTTCTGAATTCCCTTCATTTCGCTTGTTCCTACATCAATCATTTACAAGAAACGGCTTTCATGTAAGGAGAACTGAAACTATGATTAAATTGACATAGTGCTCTGTCTCTGTATATTATGTTTTCACAAAGGTCATGAGTTCTCTTGTGTTAGTTTTCTAATGCAACGACCGGCAAACTCATGCATCTGCTTCATCATTCTGCATGTTTTCTATTATGTGACATCTGCTGGTTGATTCAGTGGCACTTGTACCTAATTTCTTAACACTGCGCATGAAAATTAGTGAAAATAATGATATCCGTATTTACTCAAAACACAGATTGGTATCGACTATCCTTTAGTCTCCAGTCGACTGAACTCATTCTCGTGAATATCAATCTATTAGTTTTCTGCACGGTTCTTCAACCCATATTACTCCATTGTCCCTTCTTTCCACTTCCAGCACCTTCCCTATCCAGAGATATTTTATTTCATTATGAAGACCAGCAGATCTAGAACGTAGAATGAGCAACAGTTGCATCGTGGCGAACAGAAGGCAAAGAGGATCTGACCGTTGATAGCGGTCTGTAGACTGTCGCTCAGCTTGACTCTAGTGTCATCACGTCATGCTCTCAGTCGATGAGCTTTTGAATAGTTTTGTTGATCAATCTTTCAAGATTTTATTGCTAACTTCTCGAGAGTTCCTGTCTTGTTCCAGGACTTTTCACCGCGGCTAATATCTGTTCATAACCATTCTCATCTATTGGGCCGTTTAACAGTCATTTTGCTTTGCCACAACGGTCTCTCTCCTGCTGTCTGATCCGACGACACCCATTCGTTTGGCTTGGCAAAACCGTATGTGGAATGCGTCAACCTTACTACTTGGTAATTATTTTTATTGCCTGATAATACGTTAGTCAAACTCAGTTCGGCTCTTTTTTCGCTCCATCCATCCCCCTCGCCCGCTTTTCCTCCCTCAGTGCCGTCTTCACATGGTCCAATTTGTTGGTAGTGGTTGCGGAATTGGTCGGTGAGGAAAACGAAGCCATGGATCTGGTTCATCCAATCACAGCCCACGTCTTGACGGAGCATCAGCTGATAGTGGGTGTCGTCGTTGTCACCGATCCCGGTACTGTTCCCGTCAATCCATGTGGAGAAAAACAGCGAATATTGCTTCGTGACAGCTTCGTCAACGATAAGCTTGATCCAATCTATGTATCGTACAATATGTGACAAGTGATTCTAGCCATACACTTCTTTCTTTCCCGCTTTCCGGATTCGAAACAACCAACCACCGGTCCTTCAATCATTAGGTTCAACTTATTAACTGCTCGCAGATTGGTTGTTTCCGTTCGGCCTATTTGCTCCTATTAAATTGAGACATTCAAAAATACCGGACGCCAGTGTGATCTAGTATGTGCTTCTTCTCCTATCGTCGCTACTCGTCATCGCTTGATCTGTTCGTGCTTTCTACCATCGTCACAAAATAAAAAACGCCCTTTATTCTTAGTATAACTAAGCTTTTTCATGTTTTTATTTATTTTCTGATCTCACCAATCCATTTCCGTCCGGTTTCATGCCAAAAACCGCCTGGTTCGTCGCTTGCCTGAACTTTGTCATGCTTCTGCTACTACTCTCTCAACTTTTGTCTCTGTTTTTCTAAGTTCGCCATAGTAGTATTCATATTTTTTGTGAGCTGGGGACCACATGTGAACGCAAAGCCCAGTCGTTCTGTGCTGTGCATCGTTCCACCCAACAAACGAGCTTCACTCGTCTGTCATGCGTACCATTCGCGGATGCATCATCTTCTCAGTACCAGACCATGTCGTTCTCCCCCCCCCAGCTCACCAGGGAATCCGGACTTTTATCATCCTTGTATACTTACTTACGCCGCGTTCTTTCTGGAATTTTCACGTCTGCGGTAGAAAACGAACCATGTATTTAATAAGCAAAATTGTTTTGATACGGTTTCCGAAAGTGGAGGTTTTACGCTTTGGAGATGAACTGCTGATGTCTGAATAATTCAATAGAATGTCTGATAGAATAGGTTGGACCCGACTGACCTGCGTTTCTCTGTCATTGGAATGGCATCAGACACGCGTTGTTAGGCGGGAAAATACTGAATGGCGTATGCTGACAAAACTGGATGGCGGCGACCGCCTTACGGTGGAAGCCGTAGCTTCTCAAAGCTGAAAAACAGTCTTTTTGAAGACTACTATGGACAGGATCATATTAGTTCCCTCTCAAGTTACAAGTGGTTAACATTATATATTAAATGGCACTTACCATAATCCTAGCATCATTAAGTGGTGTGTTCAATTGTCCTGAAGAGATTATCCCCTACAGAGTTTGACATTTGGTACGGCAAGCGAATATGGAGTCCGGGGTGCTCGTGTTTATCGGCAATGATGAATGTACCTTCATAGCTGAGTTAATTCTGTCCCCGTGGCTATGCCGCTGGACTTCCAGATCCCGGTGTTTCTCAAAATTACCTCTTCACCTATAGAAACCGAAACCCGAGACTTTCTTGGTGATTTCCGGCAACCCCGTTAATACTGGATCCCGCTTTCTGTTGCACTTTTAGACATTGTGGCTTTAACTTAGTATGGGTGTGGTGAAAAAATAATGGCAGAGGTCAATGCGCGAACTGCTGACCGATTAGCCACTTATGATTACCTCTACTGAGAATGAGGGCGGATTCTCTTCGAGGATAAAGTATGGTGTTGCATCCCAGCGTATCGTCCGGAACGACGAAATTCAGGTTTACGAACTAACATTTTGGCTCTCCTTGCACGTCAGGCGTCCAGGGACATTCCTCACCGCTTATATTTCTCATCAAGCGGTTTAAGGTAACAATGTTCAGTGGCAGATAGTCGTTTAAATCTGTGGCTGGAGCACTTACACAAAAAGACATGACCCTGAGTAAAACAACTGGAATAAAGTCCAAACTCCCAGAGGTCAGGTCAAAGCAATGGGAAGGCGGCGTTAGTTTGTGGCGACCGAATTCCTCCCGAACCAAGCTATATGTATTTTGAAGAATATTTTACGGTTCCTCTTCCCTAGCTCACAACCCACCACTTATCGATTCTCGCTAGTGCCAGACACTGACAACAAATAGACTGTTCGTCACTACGGGTTGGGTCCAGGTGGGCCTTGCGAGCTACCAACACTTGCGCTTGAAAGGTTAGTTACGCAAAAGACGAGCGGCTACTACATTTCTTAGAAAGTTAAGTGGCTAACCGATACAGAACTGAGATTCCTGTTCACAACTTACGGACCGTCTTCTTTTGCCCCTGACCCTAGGCGAACATTACTTTAGGCGGTCACACGTATATTTGTCCGTTGAGCAACCCAGACGAGTACCGTCACCGACCGTTCGGCCTTCTGCGATGGTGTGAACCTTCTTTTTGTGGTCTCACAGTTTTAACGCTATCAAATTGGAACAAGTCGCTGATTGTGAATTGCCCAAGCCCGTGGCTTGGTAATCAGATGAGGATGCTGGAAGGTCAGGAGTAATTCTGTGCCCTGGCAACTAAGTGTTAAGAGTGATTCTTCATTGATTTCCAGTAGCTGCGCAAGGTCTCATGAACTGAACAGTCAGCTTTCTGCCTTCAAGAGGATTTAACGCTTCAAGAAGCGATCATCTACAAAACTGACCCAGTATATTGGTGTGTTCACCCAGCGGTTCAACACGCGAAGGCATTGCCGTCATGTTATTAGGACGAACCCGTGATGATTGAATCCATACTTTGCCGTACGTTTCATCAGTGATTGGAATACCGACCACGTCTGTGACACGTTCAAAGTTTGTGGTAACTTACTAGCGCTGATCTAATATAACTAATACAGCTAAGGTGGCTTTCAAATAATGCTCTCTTATGGCTGGACGTGTGACGGCCAGCGTGTTAATTGGCATTCACGTCACTCGTTTGCGCATATTTCCTCCTCTTCCGCAGCAATCATTCTGTCTAACCCATGCTAGAGAGTAGGATCAGTGGAGCCGAACAGCCCATTCTTGGTCATGCCGGGATTTGAAACACCAGCCCTCCGACACGTGATATGCAACGCACCCGAACTACCATTTCTGAACAGGTGGACGCGTTAACCCTTGGGCGATGAAAATGGAGTGCCCGATACCCCACCCGGAACTACCCTGGTTGTTGGGAACTTTCAATTTTCCGTGACCTAGTTGTGTTGACAGACTGACCAGTATTTTAGAAGTCCCCAGTCAGGTAGCGCCACAGAAATTTGTAAGCCGCTGGATAATTTTTTATTAGTTCCATGCGGAATCCGTAGACCTAGACTATGATCTGGACTGACAGAATAACCGTTCCACTACAGGATTGTTCAAAACACAAATGATTAAAATTATACAAACCCTGCAACGTACAATTAATGGACATTCGTACCAGCGTTTCGCAATTTCGGTCAAGCGATCCTTGTTAGTAACTAGCAGAATTGCCAAAACGCCCCAGTTCTTTTAGAAAAGGCTTGTATGTTTACCGATCGGTCTGATGCCAAATATCTTTGGGTCCCAAAATGCGGTCCATTAGGTAACCGTCTAGCTTTAACATTCTTTCGGTGCCTAGCTGTCATGTCACCAGAAGCAAGCACGAAGGATGGGATAATGCCAGGTTGCTCACCTAGACAGAAGTCGACAAACAGCGGCCGGGTTCAAACTACGGACCTTCCGACCAGTGAATTCGCGTTCTAACTAGTAAGCCCCATTAAGGGGGTCGCTCTCATTCGGGAGGGCTTACTGAGAAGACTACTCTACTGTTATATCAGACTGGAGAATATATGTTCCAAATTGTCTCGCCAAGAGTTCATTTGCAGCTTCATTCCTGTCTCTCATTGTCGGATCTGACTGTGGGCTTTGCTTTGAATTTTGCATACTAAAATTACTACACGATGGAAAATGGTGACGCGCCCAATACCTGCTTTATCTTTGCTGAGGGCAATCAGTGACGGATCGCTAGGTGGTTGGGCAACCAATCTTCGTGAACAGGCGGTTGAACACTGGACTGAATGAATGAGCGATCTTCAATGTTCGGTTTTGTCTACCAACAGGCGAGTTAACGCTTTGAAAAGATGAGAACATCTGCTAAACTACAAATCGGATCCCCGAAACATCGCTCGAGAGAAGTCGCAATCGTCGAAACTAAAGCGTGAAGACAACTGACACATGTTAATCCACAGTGGTACTTTAACAAAAAATTCAATCTCCCTCCCCAGAAGCCATGAACATCGAGCAACGATCAAACCCCCTCCACAAAAAGATCGATAATTTGCTTGGAATCAACACAGCCATATATCACTCGGCAAAAAATACGATCGGTAGTAATAATAAAGTCACCGGCAAAATCACAGCCAAGTTTGATGAAGTGAAGGTGTCCTGTATCATTCAACTGGATATACTTGCTAAGAGTAGGTTTTGAATGGTCGACGATAATTATGTGTCGCAGGCACGTAAGTGTAGTTGCAATAGTTCAGCTTGTCGCCAAACACAAGGCGAATAAGCGTAGCTTCAGTGAAGGGCTTGGACAGGACAAAAACGAGTACAATCAAACACAGAATTTGCATTACACGGATATAAAGTGTGGTCAAGCGATCCAGGTCCTCAGCATGGTGAAAGTGATAAGATGTGGAATGAGGGTGCGAATGTAAGTTGTTGGAGCGAGCGTGATTCGTCATCGATACAGACGGTGTCATTGAAGAAAAGTCCCCGATACCCACAAATTCCGGAAATCTACGGGGTGGTAGTGGCGATGCTGAAAAGAGCAGAAAGGTTGGTTAAGTTGGCTGAATTTCCTTAGGATATCGAGCCATGGGACGAGATGGCTCAGTGGTTAGAGTGTGAATTTTCTGACCGGAAGGTTCGTGGTTCGAACCCCACCTCTGCATCTCGACTTCCCCTGTCTAAGCTCGGGCAACTTGGTAGTATCCTTTCTTCAGGTTGCATGGCAGCTAGGCACTCAAAGGGTGTTACAACTGAACGATTATCTTATTATTTATTATCTTATATCTAGCCACGTCTACGCAAACCGTCTACGAAAACCATTGTAAGTGGATGCGACCGAAACTGAGCCGCAGGCCAGAATTGCAAACAAGTTCGTTCACCCCGTTAGCTATACTGGTCCTGGCAACCTAACTGTGGGTGAGACTGTCGTTTTGATATATAGGGCCACAGTGGCATATATAGCGTAGACCTGACAAGGGATGAGCACGGAGCCCCCTTTTTGAAATGCCCCACAGTGCCGCTGCTGCATATGCTTCTGTCACCACCAGAATCAGCTGTGAATCGTGATTGTGGTTCTGTCTGATAGATTCGTTTGCCAATGACCCTGGATACGATAATGGATAATTACTCAAGCTAATGTCTTTTACAGATTAATACAAGGATGACAGGTTATGTTGGTATGGAAGTTATGCACTGCGATAACAGCTCGGACTCGTGCACACCATCACCTTGAGCAGCAAAACCCGCGTAAGTACGTTCAACCAAAGGTACATACGTTCTCGTTCAAACGGGTGTGGAAGCTTGCAGACGGAGGCGACGTTGCGCTGTACGTTTTCATGCGTATTTTCATCGTGTCTTGGCCACGAGGTTACGAGACAGTGTAGTATTGTACTAATGGAAGTATAAACATGGGAGTGTAGCATAAGTGTGTCAGAAAGATTACGCATTGGAGATTAACCACAACGATCCATAGGAAGTGCGAAACATCCTCGAAGCAAATGAGTCGGAGGTAATCCCTTGTAGTGACCATGTCTAGGACAAATGTGATAGCAAACGCAGAGCTAATAGGTAAAATGGTCGGGGTGGAAGAATGAATACGAGCTGATGAAATGGGCCTGTTACGCGCAAGACTAAATGGCCGCTAGGAAGATAGACAGAACACCGGATCATACTTCTGGGTCGTCACCATGTGGAGCCAAATTGCGGTGAATGTGCTCCCAGTGCATACTTGGAACGACCGGTCTCGAATGAGAGCCGGGTAATCCTTCAGCTGTTAGACCCTTCCGGTGCCTAGCTGCAATGCCACCCGAAGGAAGCACGAGGGTTGGGATACTGTCAGGTTCCCCAAGCCCAGAAAGAAGTCGAGAGGCAGAGGTTGGGTTCGAACCACGGACCTTCAATAACTCCGCGCTCTAACCACTGAGCCATTTCACTCCGAAAGATAATCGTTCGGCAAACGGTAATCCAAGTGTAGGTTTTGAATTCATGACTCTTCCCAGCAACCGGTGGAGCTGTGCGCGGGGAATTTCAGTGAGGACACGGAAGTTTGAAAGCCTTAAGTCACTCGGGACGTTGCCCTCCACTAATGATGTAGTGCCGAACAGAACCATATTAAGTTGGTCAGACAAAGGCGCTGGTGGAAGAACGCCCTGCTGAGATGGATGAAGCAATCTACCAGAGGGAGGAAAAGGGAGCACTAGGTTTTCCATAAGCCTGCAAAGAGTTTACGGAAGACTATTTGATGGGTCGCGGCGGCCTCTGCCTTTGTAGATAGGATGGACGATGGTCCGAAGGGCTCCAGGAGTAAGCTGCGGGGAAAGCAGTGGGCAGTATGAGGGAGAATGCGACGACAGTTCTAGGACTTCAGAGTGAGTGCTGTCCGAGCAGGTACAGCGGCCACGGCCACATGATTCAGGGAGTTCCAAATTGTTTTGGTTGGAAGTCTCAGTGATTCCAACAAGACTGGAGTGAGTCATTCATGTGAGTGAGTACTGGGGAACAACTGCGTACGAGTTGGCGAATCCTTGCAGAGCGTCCTAGGGTGTGAGCGAGGACGTCATCTGAGTTCCATGGAACTGGTTTGGGGTTCACCTTCCGCTTGAATGTAATATACCGAAGATTTCTGGCCGGTCTGTGTCCTGGTGAGGGGTTGCGCCTCTTGTTACGCCACTTGTAGGGCATGACTGGGATAACATCCTGCTCAGGGAGGACGACGTGGGCCTCAAATTAAATGCCACAGTGTGTCATAGTGCAGGAAGGGGGCTGTCCGTTTTCGAATTAGTACTCTATGGATGCGGCCCAGGTAGTTTCTGCTTGTTTTGAAGAGGTGCGAAAGCGGGGGTGTAAGTCCTGTGTGCTTCGGGTGTTGCTGTGGTATCTCCGGTTCAGAGTACTCAGATATGCCTGACGGCCATCCACTTAACAACGACCATACAGTTTTCATGCCAAAATGACCTCCATAATTGTAGAAAAAAGTGGAGTTTTAAATATTGAGGGGCACTGCCAGTGAAAACCGAGATCCCGGAGAGCACCGCATGATCAGTCCTGCAATGGGTGAGATAATAGTGACCATATCTACCATACCATGTTCGTTCACGAAGATAAGATCACGCGTGGATTGGCGTTCACTTGTCTGGAATTTGGCGAGGTGGGTGGAATTTCGGCGGCATCCTGGTAATGTGGGTGTCTCTACAGGTGAGACCAGTCCAGAGTATAAAACTGACAGTTGACCCAGTTGATTGTGAGGCAGTTCAAATCTTCCAGGACCAGTACGAGTCTAATTGAGACCCAGGTGTTTGTTGCGTGAGGTTAGTTGCGAATACGGCGTCTTCATCTGGTGTTAGGTGGAGTTCCACACATAGTATGTACACGAATATCACTATTACAACTTTTCGGTTTTTCATTTTTGTGACCTATGAGGAGTTCATGAAGGGCCTCGTGGGATTTTAATGACAAATATAACTTTACTTTGATATATGTGCACCGCAACAGCGTTTTTTTACTGCTTGTTCCAGTTGCACCACGCCTTTGCCTAAAGTGTAACGTTCTTTGAATATAAGCCTCGGTGACTTACACGGTTTCTACATGCATGTGATGCGAGCGTTGTCGACACAAATCAGTAATACCTAATGTGCCATCCAGCGACTATGTGTAACTATACAGTCGCAAATGAGGTATTTACCGTGTAGGTCCAGTTTGTATGGGACGAACCAACAAGAGATTACTTAAGAGGTTGTGGTAATAGCACCAGCCGCATGTACACTATGGCGGCACCTGGAGACAGCGATTCTCTGAAGTCAGAATTTTACGGGTTTCTCTGGATGAAAACGGAAATAAAGTGCATAAGCAGAAGTCCAGTAATCACCACCAATACCTGCATATAAATCAACCAACCGCATACCACTGTAATATACACGCTATGGAAACACCAGGGGACAGTGAATCTCCGAAGGCAGGTGTTCACGACAATTTCTGTGGATGGAAGATAGAAACAAAGCCCGGGAGCCAAAGCCCAGTAAGCAAGGTTGTACACCACCAATACTTACATATGAATCAATCAAAATGACAGACACCGTATACTACAACACAAAACCAAATCAGCCATGACACTCGCAGTTAGGCGCTGCTATGGCCGGAAAGTCCACCACGCACACGATTGGCCAAAATATGGGTCTCTTGCCAGTCCGGCATCATGGAGAGCTCTGATTGGCTGAAAGCCTGGACCCAACAGCCATTCGTGACAGTATTCGCCGAATTCCGTTGCCAATGCCGCATCAAGAAGGCGTCAGCAGTTCTAGAATGTTCTCGTGGCATGCGCTTCATATAAGACGCGCCGCACAATTGTTTTTTACCTGCATTTGAGCTGTAATAAACTTTGCACACCCCTGGTGGTTGTTTTTGAAGTCAACTCTAGATTCCGAGCTTTAGACCGTGAACTAAGCTGAGCAAAATACCGTTGGTACATCCGCTGAAGATGAGGAGCGATGGATTAAGTTTGCGGGCATCTTGTTCTCTAAGGTGAAGGCTAAGCTGGAATATGGATTTTGGGGACATTGTGGAAAGGAGGAACTCATCCAAGAATTTCAAGGATTCATGGATTGATACACAGGATCGAGGCTTTTGCCCAAGTTTCCCGGGTCGGTTTTGTTCTTGTCGTTCAGCGACTGTCGTCCACCTGAAAGGCGTAGGTGAAAAAAGGGTGCATCACTGCTCTTTATTTTCTCAGCGCGGGGCAGTATGCTTGCCAGCGCGATGATTCGCACAAATAAGTGTCTGGTATTGCTTTAAACTGGGGTCTAGAAGGAGCGCGGACAACCGTCGAAGGGAGGTCATTGCACGAAGCTACTACACGAAATGAGAAAAGTTTTGCCTAATGAATGTGTGAGCTCTGAGCTTGAAAGTCTTCTTGCTATGACCCGACCGTGTGTTTGCAGGGTCAGCGGTGAAAAACCTGTTGGCAAAGCTTTGTTCAAACAGAGCATTTAGGTCCCCTTGGAGGCGACGATGCTCCAGGGAAAGTGATCAAGCATCGCGAGACGAATTTGAGCCATGCAACCATTTTCGTAGCGACTCGCTGGACACGCTCAATGAGGGTGACGTCTTTTGTGCGTCCTGAGTGGACAACTTGGTTGGCGTATTCCAGGAACGGTCTGATGTAGGTCCCGTAGAGTATTTGGAAGTTCATGAGAGTAATACGGGAGAAGGTGCGTCAGGTCATCCGTAAAATGGCGAATGTCTTTCAGGCCGATATCTCATGGTGCAGTGAGAAGTACAAGTTTGAGGAGACCCAGATGTCCAAATCATTTTTGGCATCTATCCACATGATGTTTTCTGGTCTTTTCTTACCATGTATGACAAAGACATTCGCTGAATTTCCTCCAAACGACATATGGGCGCACTTTTTATCATTCGGAGGATGTTGCCAGTCCAACTACCATTGTGTTGCAGCGTCTACATCCACTTAGAGAGCACTGGCATTGAAACCCCAGGATTTCAAGTCATCCGCAAAAAGCAGACATGGACTTGCAAGAACATCTGGAAGGTCGTTATAGCAATGGTCCCAGGACGGAGCCTTGAGGAACTCCATTGGAGACCGGCGCAAGAATTGGTGAATATGTAATGGTCAAGCTAATCCAATCATGATTGTTCAGAGGTCTTCTGAAAAATTCTTATATGTGGTCAGGCTATCCAGCATGCTACCTTAACGGGAGTGTGTGGCAGACAAATGAAAATAACGATGGAGGTAGTATTCAGTAACAAGGAGGTCAGTTGGAACAGATGCACTAAAAATCGATCCCTTTAAAGTAATTCGTTGTTTGGCCAGGTCGACGAATAAACGATAATCCAATCATGATTGTTCAGAGGTCTTCTGAAGAATTCTTATATATACTTGATTTCGGAGATAGTCTAAAATGTTTTGATACTAGAGTTAGCACATGAAATTCGCGAATGACTGCCGTAAGCGTGAGCGAGATCAGAGGAGAAAGTCTGAGCACGTGAACGCCGCGTCCTAGACGCACACCCAAACTTCCTCTGAAACCGTGGTTCAAAACAGGAAAATTTTAACACGTTTTAACAGTTAATGGTATTTACTTGGACCTTCAGGATCTCTTTAGGCTGCAACGGTTTAATTGGAGGCTTTTTTGATGAACCCGGAGTCCACCGTGGGCGTGTAGTTCAAATTTATTGGCTGCCGGCTGCTTGACTCATTCTCTTTGTGAGAACGGTTGGAAAATTTTGTGGAAAAAGCCCACCTGTTTTTTACGTATCAGGTTTTGTGGTAATCTCAAAACGACTTAGGTAATAATCACGCCCTTGACGTCCGCGCAAACGCAAAATGGAGCGGTCATTCTCAACCTGGATATAAAGACATTTTCTGTAGATTCAGCGAGCTTCCCTCTGAAGCCAGGAAATAGTGGCAGCTAGTAGGTTTTTGTTTTTTCTATGGTCAGCATACTTTTTATCTTGCGCAAGGCAAGGTTTGATGTTCACCGTTATACCGAACCAACAATATTGTCCAGATTGGGGACTCAAAATAAGAAAATGTGTCAAAAATTCCGCTAGAAAGCACTTTGATGTGAGTTAGAATTCCCGCGAAGTAACAAACAGTCAAGAGTTGTTACAGTTGTTGAATTCTTCAAGGAGGCGACACCGCTCGACTTCAAAAACGATAATCAATATTTAGGTGCAGATAATAGGTATGACGCCGATGCGAACTGGTGTGGACATATGTGTGTATGATGGACGTGTATTAGCTAGATTGTGCGCAACCAAGGCACCTTTGAGGTTGTAGATATAGAAAGTTCCAAAAGCTTCAGTACACAAGGTGGTGTTTGTTGAGGGCACAATCTCTTCATTCCTTATTAATCTGGTGGTCAACGAGGTGATAAGATGAACTCTGCAATGCCTTCTGAACCTGGTTTTCGAATTTCCCCTGGCAAAAATCATGTCGATCTGGAATATGCAGACATCGTCCCCATCTTCAAGATTAGGAAGACGCGTGGGTGTTTTTGGATGAATGGACCAAAATCATCCTTTTCTTTGGTGCGCAATAGTTGCGGGTGTGTTATGAAACTGATTATAGTAGTGCCAAGCCGCCATCTCATTGAAATACTTCGGTTTCTGGACAGCCCCCTAATGGACGGCCATTTTTAAGGTGATTGGGCTTGTGTGCGTGATTCTGCAAGGAGTGGGTTGGTCAAGGGAAACGAGGTGGGACAAAACTTATATAAGATCGCAGGTAGTTTTCTGATCCGCTTGGAGGTGTGGTTTTGCGCCGCGCTTTACATGCTTTAGAAAATGTATTGTTTTTGATTGTAGTACGGCAGATGAAGTCAGTGCATGAGCTTTCAATGCTCGGGTCGCGCTTGCTATTTTGAAACACCTATGGCGTCAAGGCGCATATCCGTAACGTCAAGCAACGTGTGCATCAGGCTACAATACCGTGTTGTATTGTCGTGAGACTTGGCCTGTCTGAGAAGCAGAGCCAAAGCGTTTTCAGGTGTTTGATAACGGTTGTCTCAAAACCGTAGCTCGTGTAGGCCGATGTCGGCAAATCCGTAAGCCGACCGTTGGAGAGTGGTCTTTTTCTTTTTTCCACCGGAAATTTTTACTGAAGAACGTGTCGTTGCAATCACCAGCTAGATAATCATTATAACCTGAGACGGTTTGGCCGCATCAGATTTGGTTAGCTTACCAGCTCATTTATTCGGATTTAGTCGACATGATTTCGGAGGTGAATTCTTCGACGTGAACGATGAGTTGGACGAGGCCGAGGTGAGATTGCTACTCTGGTTGATTATAGAATGTTTGCCAATCGTAATTGAGTATATATTTTTTCAGAAACCCTGTTGAGTAAAAAGGTGAGAACTGGATTGACCCCACATTGTGTTCGTACCGATGCAACCAAAATAAAAACGTGGGAACTAGGAAACATCAAAACCAAGAGATTCAGCTGAGTTCCAGGTGAGTCCCTCGAAGAACCAACTTGGTTTACAAATGCGTGTATGTTTGCTAATTTCGTGCAATTAGGTTTCAAGTAGAACATCATTTCGATGGAAACTCGAGGACTGCGCCTACCCGATGAGCCCCAAGAAGAGCGAAACCGGTCGTGGGCTGTCGAGGAATTTTCAGCAACCTTATGAACAGCGCATAACAAAATAGAAACATGGTTTGTTAAACGTGGGTGCGTAGTTTTTTATGCATGGTGTGGCATGTGAACCGCGTATGGATATACAGGACTGTCGTTGATCGTTGGATTAGTCCATTATGTATAGCTGGGCATTCTAGTAAGCTGGCAGCACGGACCCCGCAATTACTATAAGTAGCCTCGGCATGTGACATCGAGTAGAGTTATCGGTATGGCGGGCCGTCGTTAGCCATTGGAATGGGCTCCTGGGCATAGTTGAGGCTTCACAATCAGCGTTGCACGTAGACACAGGCCTAACCAATGCAATAAGTTGCCAAGGTAGGCAATATGGACAATAATTAAAAGTATGACGCGTTACCTTTGGCCGTTACGTTAGGACACCATGCATAGTTGGGGCATAATAATCAGCGCCGCACATAGGCACTGGCGTGCATAGTTGGGGCATAATAATCAGCGCTGCACATAGGCACTGGCCTAGCAGTTTCAATAAGTAGTCAAGGTAGGCGATATCGCGTAAAGTTATGAGTGTGACGTCCGTCACTTGCCGTCAGATTAGATATGAGTGCACGATTAAGGTCCCGTATTCATCGGTTCGCATAAATGCTGCTACTGTGTCTATCATAAGTAGCAGAGGTGTGCTACATGCGCATAGTTATGAGTACGAAAGATTGGTTTGGATTAGGCTACCGGATAATCAACGCCGCACATGCACACGAACCTAACAGCCAGGATAAGAAGCCAATTAAGGCGACGTTGAATACAGCGGTGAGTAGGACATGCCTTCAGATTAGGCTCTCACGCCGAGTTGAGGCCTTATTTTTGCCGGCCTGCATGGATACCGGTCTGATGTTTGCTATAGGTAGCAAGGATATGCCGCACCACGTATGGTTATTGGTATGAGAGGCCGTCGTTGGCCATCGGATTAGGTTACTGTTCATAGGTGAGACCTCATTATCAGTGCCGCACACGGGCCGAACGGATGAGTGTTAACGGCCACCGTTATCACTGTGACCGCTTTATGGTGGTCACAACCTAGAGAGCGTCACATTCCCAATTTGGAATGATGCCGTTGTGTCGGTTATTTACCTGTAGCTCTCTCGTGACGCTGTATTAAGTAAGGCTAGTTATGCATACCTGAGGAACGGGATCATACGCAGATATGACCCTCGCATTGACAATGCGCAGTTCATGGTGTTTTTTAACACTACTGTACTTAATGGAAGTTGAGCCGAAGGAAGGTCTACCGAACACAATCATCTCATTTGTTAAATCTGAGGATCGTAAGGTAAACGAACGTCAATGACCGATCTTTCAGATTGAAATGCGCATTGGATATTCTTAAGATGTTCTTTTATTCCTAGTGAACTTCGGAGTAGTATTTCGTGTTTCGTCTCGCGTAAACCGATAACAAAATGCGAGTCCGCGATGATCCGTGACCTTGAAAGTTCATTCACTTAAACAAAATGCTATTAGCAACACGTCACCAAAAGGAGCAATTGGATTAGATGAAATCCCCGTAAAAATCAAAACTTCAAAAAAACAGCGTCAGCATAAATCATTTGGGTTTGTTCTAGTGAGCAGCCATGTGACCAGGTTTTAATTGCATCTAATTGTGCAATTGCACGTTTTTGTGAATTTTCATTTACAACCAAAAACGGTTATGCAATTGACAAAGTACGTAATGTTATATTAAAAGCTAAATAAAGGTACAACCACCACGAGCGGTACTGCGCGTGACTGCTTTGTTATATTAAAAGCTAAAGAAAGGTGCAAACACCACGAGCGGTACTGCGCGTGACTGCTTGGGGAACTACACTTTCATCAGTGCTTTCTGGAGTTGGCTGTTTCTGCAAAGAATGTAACATGTCGGACAACCGATATATTAGATCCACTTTTGCGAATTTTTTCTTAGGTACACGATGTCAATTGTCAAAATCGGTCTAAATTCGTTAAGATGAGAAGCGAATTAGGACAATGTACAAAGGATTGGAAGTGGACCTGCAGTTATATTTGGCGGTGTGAACGGGGAAATAAGA